ATAAAATTAAATACAAATTTACATTACATTACAAAATTGAAAAATAATTAATAAAACTGTTGTTGTTGTTGAGGTTGTTGTTGTTCTTCACGTTGTTGTTGTTCACGATGGTTGTTGTTGTTGTTCACATTGTTGTCGTTGTTGTTGTTGAAGTTGTTGTTGTTGTTGACGAAAAGAGGAGGGAGAATGAAGGAGAAAGGAAGGAAGGAGGAAGGAGAAAGGGGCGAGGAAGGAGAAGGAAGAGAAGGAGGAGAGGAGGAAGGAACGAAGAAGAAGAAGAAGGAGAAGGAAGGGAGAATGACGAAGAAGCAGAGAAGAGGAAAGAGGGGAGGAGAGAGAAAGAGAAAAGAGGCGGTGAAGGAGAGAGAGAAAAGTTAGGATTTTTTTTTTATAATAATACATTCCGACGGAATATTCCGTCGGAAACCCCTAATATTCCAAAAAAAAAAAAAAATTTCTTTTATTTTTTCCGACGGAATTTTTTCCCTCGGAATTCACAGATCCGACGGAATATTCCGTCGGAAATTCCTTCAGAAGCTGTGAATTTCGAGGGAAAAAAATCCGTCGGAATATTTCCGAGGGATTTTCCAACGGAATTTACCTTTTCCGACGGAAATTTCCGATAGACCAAAATTCCGTCGGAAATGTTGAAATTTCCGACGGAATTTATGTCCGTCGGAACGTTTCCGTGGGAAATTGGCCTATTTCTTGTAGTGAAAAAAAAAAAAAAAGGACATTGACGTATTTCATTGCGATAGAATTTGGGTTATATGAGGGTATAATTGTTATTATACCTTACAATATTTTCTTTCTTTTAAGGAAAGCAGTGTTAATGCATTCATTAATCAAGGGACAAAGTGTTCGAGTGTACATGAAGGGAAATCATCGCCGGACAATAATTAGTTGGATGATCAAAAAGCTCCCTAAGCAACTTATTGAAAATTACTCTTTCAATCAACTCACCATCAACCATCCCAATTAGCTTATTGTAGTGATTACCAACTAACGTTGGTCGAATAAGCTAATTTTGTCCCAATAATCTTTTACCGAACACCTCTAATACCATTGTATTTTTGTTGTAGAGATATAGGATTAAATTAACTGGACATCTGTGTGGTAACAAATAGTAGCTATGCGCTAATAGTTAAAGTTCATCTCAGCGCATGGCTGCTATTTATTAGGCATGCATATATGAGGGCAATTTGGGGGTTTTTTTTTCATTTGATATTTTTCTACATTGGTACATTTTTTTGTACTATTATGCATGTATAATGTAACATTACAGTATAAATTGTCGTAATGTACTTTTTGTGTACTATTATGCATGTAGTGATACTTTTTGCCATCCTATGTCGTTGAATATTTTCCCCAAAAATACCTACCACTTGTCACCTATTATGCATGAAGTGGTATTTTTTGTCATCCTAATTGTTTGCTAACAATGCAAATAGCAGCTATCGTAATTTAAATCCATTCTAGCTCTAAAGTCATACTTGGTTTCTTTTTTTATTATTTGGGTTTTCATGTGTGTTTACCAATACACATGCTATAACATTAATATCTTTTTTTTTTTTTTTGGGTGATATAACATTAATATCTTTAATTACTTAATAAAAATTAAACTAAATAAAAGTTTATATTGTAATTAAAAGTACAAGTTAAGACAAATCTATTGAACATCACCTTGGATTTTTGGTGTTAACAAGTGTGTTACTACTCTATAGTTCTTAAATATGTACTATATGTTTCTATTAAAATACTTCTTAGTAAATTGACTGATACGAATAATTGGTAATAATTATTGTGTGCTTTGTTTGTCAATTGTAGGACTGAGTGTAACCTTAGGATCAATACTATTGTTTATCTTGGGCTACTGGATATATAAACTGATCAAAAGAAGACAGGTTATCAGGCAAAGAGCTATATTTTATGAGAAAAGTTTGTTGTTGCAACAACAACAACTCTCTTTGGATGAAGTTGTAGAAAGAACAAAATTCTTCACTATTGCTGAGCTACAAAAAGCCACTGATAACTTTAGTGAGGATAGAATCCTTGGACAAGGAGGCCGTGGGACGGTCTATAAGGGAATTGGCCGAAGGAAAGATTGTTGCTGTAAAGAAGCCAAAGAAATTGGAGGAAAGCGAAATAATGGAACTTATCAATGAAATTGCTATCCTATCACAAATTAATCACAGGAATATAGTGAAGTTGTTAGGATGTTGTTTGGAGACGGAAGTTCCATTACTAGTATCTGAGTTTATTCCTAACGGAACCCTTTTTCATCATATTCATTATCCAAGTGAAGAGTTTCCGATCACCTGGAAGATGCGTTTGCAAATTGCTTCTGACTCGGCTGGAGCACTTGCCTATTTGCATTGTTCATCTTCAATTCCTATCTTTCACAGGGACATCAAATCTTCGAACATTCTTTTAGATGAAAAGTACAGGGGAAAGTTATCTGATTTTGGAACTTCAAGACTCGTGGGTACTGATCAAACTCACGTCACTACTCGTGTTATGGGCACACGTGGTTATTTTGATCCGGAGTACATTCAAACCCACCAATTTACCGAAAAGAGTGATGTTTACAGTTTCGGTGTTGTCCTCGTTGAGCTTTTGACAGGACAAAAAGCAATACGTGCTATATCAGAGCAAGATAGAAGTTTAACAGCATGGTTCCTTTCCCATATGGAAAACTCACGTTTGCTTGATATCATAGACTCTCAAGTCCTAAAAGAAAATTGTAATAAGGAAGAGTTTCACACAATTGCTACTTTGGCAAAGCGATGTTTAAGCTCCGATGGAAAGAGAAGACCGTCCATTAAAGAAGTGTCACTCGAGATAGAGGCAGTTTTGTCACTTCATTTACCACAAATAAACGAACCCGGTACACCAACAGAACCCGATGAAGTGTTTGTTACTGAAGCATTCAAAGGTTCATTCAACGACTGTGGTTCAAGCTCTAGCACATTTAATTTGGAAAGCAAGCCTTAAGCTCTATTGAGGCCTCTCAAGTATTCACTCCTAGATGATGCAAGTATCCTCAATCTTGTACTATGTATAACTTGAAATTTAAGCTGGTCGTGTCCACTACGATTCACTATCTATATTCCTATACCAAGTCATCAACTATGTCAAGGTCGTGACCTTTAGGTTTTAGCCTACCAAAAATAAATTTTTATCCTAGTTTTTATATATTTATATCGTACAATAATTATTTCAGTAAGTTAGATTGGTTTTGTCCTTTGCAAAATTTGATAGAAATATCTTGAATATCATATTCATATCCAAACAGGAAGACTCGCAAAAAAAAGGAAAAAAAGCCTTAACCATAAGTTCCAATAATAAACACTACCTTTTACTACCACATCGCAAATGGGCTGGAAGACTGCAAGTAGCATCAATCAACATTAATGTTCCTATATTATTAGCGGCCCTTTGTCACACATTTACAGATTCACTTCTACCAATAATTTTCTGGTTACATTAAATAATGTGAATTCTAACCACAAATGTGTTTCAACACTATTAGACTATTCTACGCTTAGACTACCCCACCCCAACACACTGAAGTCTTCGTCAAGAACGTTTTTCCAATTTGAGCTCTAAACGTAAACTATTGACAAAAATGGTTGCGTGGCAAAACTATTTACCAAACTAAGCTTCCAGGGTAAATCGCTGTCTCGGACAGCGTTTTACCCCTGGTTTTTTTTTTAAAAAAAATTCAACTGGTAAACGCTGTCCCAGACAGCGTTTTACCTTCTGTATTTTTTTAAATTCAGTAGGGCATAAAACGCTGTCTCGGACAGCGTTTTATCCTTGGGTTTTTTTTAAAAAAAATTCAATGGGTAAAACGCTGTCCGAGACAGCGTTTTATGCCCTGTTTTTTTTTTAAATGAAACGCTGTCCGGGACAGCGTTTCATGGCCATATATCAGCATGTTCACTTCAGCAGAATGCGCAAGAACTCAACCTCAACCTCAACGCTTTCCCTCCTCCCTCTCACACTAAACCACGACCGTACTCAAACACCCGCATTGCCGCCGCCGCCCACCCTTGCGCCACCGCTGCTGCCGCCACCTTGCTGCTGCCCTCCTCCCTCTCACACTCACTCACTCAATTTCGTGGTTAGCCCTAAACTGAATTTAGTGTAATTGCATAGTTATTGTGGTTAATTATTGTGAATTGTATGTAATTGCTCTTACTTGTTGTTAATTCATGTCAATTGCATGTAATTGTTGCTAATTATTAATGAAAATGTGGTACATTGTTGATAATTATTGATGGTGATGTGGTACATTGTTATTGAAATTGTTCATGACATTGGTGAAGTTGATGATGGTGAAAATGTTGAAGTTGTTAATGGTTGAAATTGGTGAGAAGAGATGAAATTGTTGAAATTATTGAAATAGTTTAGGTTGAAATTGTTGAAATAATTCAAATTGTTCATGAAATTGTTGAAATTGGTGAAGTTGTTGAAAGTGAAGTTGTTATAGGTGAGAAGAGTCTTATTTCAGTGTTGATAATTTACCTCGCTCTAGATTTCGATAATCCTAAAATGTGTTTTGGTTATGTAGAATATGGCGTCACAAAATGTAGTTTTGTTATGCCGGTGGGGAGGAGAAATTCTGTTTGATGGACCCCGGGTCGAGTATAGTGGGGGAAATATGGAACCACTAACACTAGAACCGAACATGACTATGAATGATTTGATGAATGAGGTTCATAGTAGTATTGGTTCAGACCCGATGACCGTTGACGTACACATTAAAATGAGGTTTGAGACCGGCAATGAGGTTCATAGTAGTATTGGTTCAGACCCGATGACCGTTGTCACGTTCAGGGCCATAACCGGGCAACGTGTCCATCGAGACCCTCAGAGGACCCATGACTGTTAACTGAAATTCGTTGTAATCGTAGATGGAGGAATTATTTTGTAATAGAAAATTTTGATTTAATAACATTTGGAACATTTTGATTTAATAACATTTGGAACATCCCACGTAGGTGCTAACGAGATTGGAGGTCCCCTGATTGTCCTCCAGGTACCTCACTTATTTCTGTACCAAAAAAACTATTTCACCACGCACTTACATATTTCATACTGAAGCTAGTTTTGTGTCTCTGTGTGCCAGTTCTGGGCTTGGGAGCATATCCATGTAGGCAGACCAGGCAGACCTGCGATACACCGTCGGGGGGAGCAGGACCAGGACGACCAGTACCAGGCGTACGATGCTCCCCCGCTCCCTACACCGGATGAGGCATATGGTTGCAGGTTCGATACAACTTTCATTGAGTTAGGCTTTATTTAATGCGCGGGGTTGTTAACTGAAACATTGTTCGATATTAGGTGGGTGGTACCCAGGCTGACGCATGCTCATGCGGCGAGGGGTCTTCCGTATTACCGAGACGCCCTAGACCGACTCACCGAGGACCAGGTAACAATTTAAAATACAGTTTTAGCTTTTTTGTTTTAACATTGTACTTGTTGCGAACTAACATATTCATAATATTACTGTTGATGTGTATTTACAGGTGACATGGGACCCGTATGTACCTGACTTGGTAGATGCCATGCCTCTAAATCTGCTAGACCATCAGGCGGAGTGGCGTGCTAGGGTCCCCCTGATCTGTTTCGAGGTTGTGGAGAGTCACCTGCCCGACCGAGTCATGAGGCAGTTTGGACTACGCCAGACTATCCCACAGGGGTGTGACACTAGTGTACAGCTTCACGGCATTGATCGTCGGGGAAAGGGGGAGACCAGCTGGGCGCTGGAGCATTGGCGTTTCCTTCAGCTATGGGAGCAACGGTTGGAGTTCATCGTTGGAGGTGATCTAATGCAGGGGGCTATGGATCCCGACGATCCGTACATGGTGTGGTACAGGCGTATCACACGACGCTTCATCAACCCCAGCTACGCACCACCATCCACACATTACCATCCAGCATATGACATCATTAGCGGATATGTGAGTTATTATTTTTCTACTCCTTTTCAACAATTTCCATATTTGTATGCCATAGATCTGACTGATCGATGATTACTGCAGGCGGCGGATATGGTGGCGATGGTTTATGCGCTATCAGTCTCCCTTGAGTGCGGACCCACTAGAGCCCAGGTCGAGCAGGTGCGAGATATGGGCGTCGCTACCTTACGGAGATATGGTCACGCTCATCTCGCCCACCGGCGGGACGGTCATGATGGCAACTCACAGTTCGATCTCGGCCAGAGCAGCGGTGGATGTGATCCTACGTCACCCAGACACGCAGAGGATTACAACATCCACAGTACTGCGCCCTCTGGTACCCAGGAGGACCCCTCGTCCAGTCAGCTGACTCCCCCACCGCCCCGAGACCCATTCACCACCGTCACTCATTACAGGCGGCGACGTGTCAGACGGAGGGCCGACACTCAGGAGGCAGGACCTTTACCCCGAATAAATGAGTCGGGCTAGTATTATCTGTTGTATTCCCTGTTATTTTGTGTAATGATGTACATAACACTTATGAAATTAATATAATAAATCTTTTTTGAATGACTCCGTGTGTGCTTTGAAGTTAATTTGGTGGTTGGACTGTTGTTGGGCTGTTTCGAGTTTTCTGCAGTGCTTAAAGTTGACGGAACTCCCAGAATATGGTGGTGGTACGTGGTGGGGAGTGGCGGAGTTGGTGGTCGACGGTGGTGGGGTAGGGCTGTGGAGCTGGCTGTTGTGGTGGCTGTTGGAGGACTGCAGCATGCAAGCTGTTTGCTGAAGCTTGTTTTCTGCCTGGATGCTGGTTGCTGTTTCCAGCAGAAAAGCGCTGACTCAGACAGCGCTTTATGTTCAAGCATAAAGCGCTGTCTGAGACAGCGTTTTATGTTCAAGCATAAAGCGTTGTCTGAGTCAGCGCTTTATGTTGAACATATAAAATAGTTGTAGTTGAATTTTTTTTTAAAAAAAAAACCAGGGGTAAAACGCTGTCCGAGACAGCGATTTACCCTGGAAGCTTAGTTTGGTAAATGGTTTTGCCACGCAACCATTTTTGTCATTAGTTTACGTTTAGAGCTCAAATTGGAAAAACGTTCCTTCGTCAACGAGATTTTGCTAAAAAATGCCAAAATTTATTTTGAGTTGTTTGCTTGTTGCCATGTATCTCTCATGGCTTCTCCTATTACTCTCAATAATAAATGCTTTTTATAGATTTACACCCAATTTTTTTTTTTTTAATTACCACCTACCAAATGGACTGTAATTATGCAAGGTGTGATTATATTATATGCTCCATCACTTCCAAAATTAAGCGCATATCTCATTTTTTTTAATTTATTTACCATTAATATCGTTAATTACACATTCAAAAAATTATTTTGATATTATAAAGCTATTCATTGAGACGTATCCAACGACATTTTACATTACATTTTTTTTTATATATATATATATTAATAAGAATTTGTGGTAAAGTTTTTAATGTTTGATCATGAAAATGGTGATAGAATATAAAACTTATTTCCGAGTCTCAACCATAATCAGCTTAAAAGAACTTTTAGTTGAGTTGGTCCTTAAACCTAAAATAGTGTCAAAGTGATACAAATTTTTTTTGATTAAAATCTCGCCCACTCCTTTTGAAATGGTATATTAAGCATTTAAGTAGCTCATGTTACAACCACATTTCAAGTCCAACAGACTCTTAAGCCATCTCCATCGGTGAAACTCAACTTTGAGTATTGAAATACAAAATGAGTTGTTTTTTACCTTCAATGGTGATACCCAACCCACTTAGCAATTTAGCAACTCATGTGAAGTCTAATTTCTCAATGGTGACGCTCTCTAATGTCACTTTCAATTTATGGCTCACCAAATCCATATTGTAAGTTTTTCAAATAAAAAATTAAAAAAAAAATAAAACTTAAATAAATTACAAAATATATTATAATATTGATAAAGGGCCCACACTTTTTGTCAAATGAGACTCGAAGTTGAGAACTAAACTTAACAACTTATTGGTATCCTTTGCAAAAAATACTCTCTCCCCTAAAAAACACTCACTCAAATCTCACCATTGGAGATGGTATTATATGAAGATTTCAAGGCATTGGATACGAGGAAGTAATATTTATATTATATATCTAGATACTTGAAATTATGTGTATTCTAGCCACAAATGCATTTCAACAATATCAGAAAATTCTACGCTCAGCCCGACACTACTAGACGATTATGTATTCTAGCCTCTCCTCCCCTAGTCCAACATAAGTCTTCTACTAGGAGTGCTGAAATTTATTTTGAGTTGTAAACAACTAAACATGCATCTTTTGTATTCATGGCTTCTACTCCTACTCTCCTCAATGGGAGCTACCACAGTGTTGGTCAGGACCAACGCTATGGTAATACCCAAAAACATGATCACAACAGCAAACACCACCAAATCCGGTTGCCAACGGAAATGTGGCAACTTAACAATCCCATACCCCTTTGGCATCGGTTATAATTGCTCCTTTCCAGGTTCATACGGTTTCAATCTCATATGCAACACCTCCTACAACCCTCCTAGAGCCTTCACTTCTGTAGACGGCTTTGGCGACATCTTGGATATAACTGAGACCCAAACAACGGTCAGGAATACTTTCATGGCCACTCTTTGCTATGATTCGCAGGGAAATGAAATAAGCCCTAGTGGGGAAGGGTTAGTAGATTACTTAGATATAGGGAGTTCTCCCTTTACTATCTCAAAGACTGCAAACAAGCTCACCGTCATTGGCTGTAATAACTACGGGGTGTTTGATAGTTCTGGAGGCTATATTGGGGATCATCTAAGGGTTGGTTGCATTTCCCTGTGCAGTAAAACTGAGCCTGTTCCGGGTTCGTGTCTGGGAGGATGCTGCCAGGCGTCCATCCCATTTGGCTCGCAAAATTTCGCTTTAGCTGTTCATGGTATTAGTGCTGGAGGTGACCCAGAGAGTTGTAGCTATTCTTTCTATGGTAAATTAGGCAGCTTTACCTTTGGTGGTGCTTCTGACTTGACAAGGAATAATTTTGATGTTGTTCGGAATAAAATCCTGGATCAAGTTTCTATAGTGTTCGATTGGAACGTACAACTCAATACTTCCTGCAAAAAGGTGAAGATGAGCAATTCTAGTATTAATCCTTATCTTTGTCAGTCAAATACCAGATGTATTGATACTGCGGAGGGAGGATATCGCTGCAGCTGCCTCCCTGGATACGAGGGAAACCCTTATCTTAAGCCCGGTTGCACAGGTTAGTCACACTTGATGCTGTCTTCCTTCCGTATTTGTTGGATTTTCGATGAGAAGAAAGAAACTTGGTTTAATTCCATCTTGCTTTTGTTTAGACATCAATGAGTGTATTGCTGGTCCAAACAATCCGTGTACCACGTTCTGTGTTAACACTCCGGGGAGTTTCATATGTTTTTGCTCTGATGGTTATACTGGCGATGGATTAAGCTCTGGGATTGGATGCATAAGAATTACTGATAAGAGCTCATTCTTAACTATTGGTAATCTCTTAATTTATTAAATTATGAGTAGTATTCAATTAGTAATTTCAATCTATATAAGTAAGGCAACACTGCGATTTTGAACTGTTTGGATTTAAATATAAGGATTAGTATTCAATTTGTAATTTCAATCTATGTTTATTTTGAGCTTCAGGACTAAGCATATCCTTGGGAATAATAGTTTTGCTTGTGGTTGCTTGGTGGTTTTCTACTATTATAAAAAGAAGAAGAATAGTTAAGCAAAAGGCTAAAAATTTTGAGCGAAATGGCGGGTTTCTATTACAAGAACAAATGGCTACTGATGAAGTGTTGTGGCAGCAATAAAAATCTTCACCATCGATGAGTTAGAAAGAGCCACTGACCACTTCAATGAGGATAGAATACTCGGAAAAGGCGGTCAAGGTACAGTTTATAAGGGAATGCTGAGTGAAGGGAAAATTGTCGCCATAAAAATGTGCAAAGTTGTTGATCAAAATCAGTGTGGAGATTTTGTCAATGAAGTCATCATATTATCAAATATTAATCATAGGAATATAGTGAAGTTATTAGGATGTTGTTTGGAACATGAGACCCCATTACAAGTGTTTGAGTATATTCCAAATGGAACTCTCGATCATCATATTCATAGTCCAAGCTCTGAATTTCAAATCACTTGGAGAATGCGATTGCAAATTGCTTCCGATTTAGCCGGAGCACTTGCTTATTTGCATTCATCATCTTCTATTCCTATCTTCCATAGAGACATCAAATCTTCCAACATACTATTGGATGACAAATACAGGGCAAAGTTATCAGATTTTGGGACTTCAAAATCAGTTGCTATTGATCAAACCCATGCAACCACTCGTGTTATGGGAACATTCGGTTATTTGGATCCAGAATACTATCAACTAGGCCAGTATACTGAAAAGAGCGATGTTTACAGTTTTGGGGTGGTTCTTGTTGAGCTTTTAACATGACAAAAGGCAATACGAAGTATATCAGAAGAAGAGAAAAGCTTGACATCATGGTTTCTTTCCCACATGGAAAACTCTCGTTTGCTCGATATTATAGATTCTCAAGTCATGCAAGGGGATTTGAAGGAAGAATTTCTCATTATTGCTGAAATTGCAAATCGTTGTTTGAACCTAGATAGAAACAGAAGACCCACCATGAAAGATGTTCTACTAGAGATTGAAGCAGTGTTGTCACTTCATTTGCCCCACGCAAACGAGCAAATCGAGCCAAAATCAAAGCAATTGTTCAGTGAAACTGAGAGAATATTTGTCGTGCCTTTCTCATTGATCATGAAACAGTATATAATACAAGCGTAAGCTAGGTTAGGGTTAAGGCTAAACTAGTAATTTACAAACTAATTACATACTAGATTATTTACATAATCTAACACTCCCCCGCAGTCAAAGCGGGAGGACCATGAACGCTTAGACTGTCCCAAAAATCATCAAATAAAACCTTAGGCAGACCTTTGGTGAAGATATCTGCAATCTGGTATCGGGAAGGCACATGTAGGACACGTACTTCGCCCCTTTGAACTTTCTCACGAACAAAGTGAATGTCCATCTCAATGTGTTTAGTGCGCTGATGCTGAACCGGATTACTAGAGAGATAAATCGCACTAACATTGTCACAATAAACCAATGTTGCTTTCGAAATAGGAAGAAATAGCTCGAGCAACAAATTGCGAATCCAGCAGGATTCGGAGACCACATTGGCAACCCCTCTGTACTCTGCTTCACAACTAGACTTAGACAAAGTGGGTTGGCGTTTTGAAGACCAAGAAATCAGATTGTCACCAAGGTATACACAATACCCCGATGTGGAATGACGAGTATCCGGACACCCGCCCCAATCTGCATCCATGTATGACACAAGGGTAGAAATAGGAGATTTATGCAGTTGTAAACCAAAATCTGTCATACCCTTAATGTATCGTAGAATGCGTTTCAACGCATTCATGTGCTCAACACGGGGCGAGTGCATAAATAAGCAAACCTGTTGAACTGCATAAGAGATATCTGGTTGGGTGAATGTCAAGTACTGCAAAGCACCACAGAGGCGTCGATAAGAAGTAGGATCGTCATACAGAGCACCCTCCTAAGTACTCAATTTGCCTTTGGTGTCAACAGGAGTAGCTGAAGGCTTGCAATTTGCCATTCCTGCTTTTTCCAAAATTTCTTGCGCATACTTCTTTTGAGATAAAAATAGACCACTTTTACCTCTAGTAACAGCAATACCCAAAAAATAACTCAGAGGACCCAAATCCTTCATTGCAAATTCAGAGCTGAGCCGAGAAATAATATGTCGGCGGAGAGATTCCGATGAAGCAGTAAGCACAATAACATCAACATATAGAAGTAGATAAGCAGTATCATTACCATGGTGATAGATGAACAAAGAGGTATCAGATTTTCTATAAGCAAAGCCAATAGTAGCCACAAAATCTGCAAACTGTTTGTACCACGCACGGGGTGCCTGTTTGAGACCATAAAGTG